AACGTTCTGCTCTCTCTGCTTTTTCTCATAGTAGCTTCATCTGGTCTTTTCCTGTTTGGCTGTGACGCCATCCTGGAAAGAAACATCAGCTGTGCTGCTGCCATCAACACTCTTGTTTATAGATGCTGGAGATCGGCCTGTTTTCCAGTGTGGTCCTGTTTCCCTGACTGTGACTGGCTGCTCTCTTCCTCTAGAGTTTTTCCTCTCCACTGTCGCTACAAGCATGCTTAGTGTGAGGGATTGTATTCGAGTCAATGAGTCAATGCAATCAGCTGATTTTCCTTAGATAGAAAACTTTGAATCAATTTGACTGGATGATCTGGTTGAACTGTAAAGTGCCTTGAGATGACATGTGTTGTGAATTGGAGCTATAGAAATAAACTGAATTGAATATACACATATGTATATATACATATATATACACATATATATCCATAAATATTCATATATATATATATATACATATTAATTTGCTTGAATTGATTTGCTTGTAACAGTTTACATACACTATGATGCTGTAAACACATTTTTTGTTTTAATTGAATATTAAAACATCACATATTTATCACCTACCTGTCCTTTATTATCTTAACTTATTACTCAGTTTTGCATTATGTAAGAGCAGGGTGTGCTGTTCTGTTTTTGTTTCTATCTGTATGTAGTAAACATAATTTGGCCATTAAGCTTTTGCAGATTCTGACTATATGAACCAGCATGTAGAAGGCTTTAATTATTTTCTTTTTTCCAGTTTAAAAATGTACACCCAGCAGCCTCAACTGGTAAACATAGCAAGCCAAGGTTAGACAAGGAAAGAGTTTGTTTTCAACGTCATAAATTTAGTTATTTACCTCAGTTCCTGTTTTCTCTGATATTTATCGGAGCGTAACAGACATCTTCTGTCCTCACAGATGAATAAACTGCAACAGGGTCACTACCTGCAAATAAATGGAGGCATGAATAAATACCTTCAGCAACCAAAACAGCAAGAACAAACAGCAACAACACTAATAGACTTGGTTAATAAGCTTTATGAGGAGAATTTGATTGCTTTTTTTCTGTTCCTAACACCTCTGCAGGTAAAGTTTAAATATAAACCATTGAGGTCATTTGAAACTGCGTGTTGGAAACCAGAAAGTTTCACACCTCCCTGTGCAATCTGACCCATTTCACCACAGAGTAGAAAATAAACACGTCTGCAGAGCGCGGATGGAAACAATGACCACAGATGGCCAAAGCTCAGTGAGAAAATAGACCAGTTTTAGTCTGCTAATCTCAACAAGAGGAAACTGCTGTTTTAGCTGCTGTAAAATACTTAATTAAATTAAACTGTTGAAATAATAAAGAAAGAAATCTGTGAATAATAATTTAATATTTGATTGTTTCAGGGCAGTACGTGCTGGTAAATACCACAGTTTATGAGGTCATGACTTGGTTTCTGTACTTCAAAGCCTTCAGATGAGAACATCAATAAAGCTTTCATCTGCATCTTTTCAAACACACAAGAAAAACAAATATATTCCTATGAACAGCAGTATGTTTCAACTAAAGGCTGACATTAAAATCAGAAAGCTGCGTATTCAGATTTTATAAAGGTTTTTCTTCTTCATCTTCATATTTTGTTGGTTTATTTTTAATGGACCCAACAAAAGTTTGATTTCAGAAAATGATCATCAGCAGCAGTTACAGTGTATTTAGACTGTGGTAGAGCTATCAGGATGAGTCTGTCATTATTGTCTTATTACGAAAATTTAACATAACTTTCATAAAATATACAGTAAAACATATTAATTGTTCGGTCTAATTTCTTCTTTTGATCACTATAAAATATAAAAAAACCCTTAAAGTTTCTTTCAATGCACAAATCACATGAAACCGTATCTTGTGTTTTTATTTGCTTTTGAACAAAAATATCAACTCTTCCCCTAATTCAGTGTGGATTTTCATCCCTTTATGTGGGCCCCTATGTACTCGTCCTGTAGTCCGTTTGACATAGATACCAGATATACACAACAAAAAATAAACATAAAACTAAAGTAAAATCTAGAAACCAAATAAAATGAAATTCATAGATCAAAACTAAAAAACGCTTGCAGTCTGGCGTCCCTGGGGTGTGTTGCCCACGGGTGGGTGCCCCAGCGGGGCATGGGGTGCTGTGGGGTATGTTGATTTGGGTCTGTGTCGGCGTATGCCCGGGTGTCTGGCCCTGCCGGGGCCTCTGGTGTGCTGGGGGCCTTGGGGTCTGCTGAGCTCGTAGGGGGCATGGACATTAATATCTTATGGCAGGTGCTTACCCCTTTATGGGTTTGCACTCTGCTAGTGGAGGGAGGGGAGGGGGGGCGAGTGGGAATGTACCCAGCCTGGATGTCTATCGTCGTCGTATGTGTGGAGAATTGTTTACATGTTAGTGTTGGGGAGGGATTACATTTCTGGGGGGGTGTTGATGTTGGAAGCGTTTCTTAGACAATAGTATAATGTCAGCTTTATTCTGTGTTGCTGATTTTAACAATTTCCCTATTTTAGATTAAACATGTGAGAAAATTCTAGGATGTTTAACAACTGTCCATCCAAGTTATTAATCCCTATTGGTCTGTAAAAAATAAGTTAAATATGATTAAAAGAAAAGATATTTTACCTTTTGGTTTTGACCTTTGTTTCTTGTTTCTGATGGCAATCTGTCCATAATGAATGTCCTCTGATCTCACTGCTGAGTAGACGGCAGCTGGATCACTGTCTGACACTAAGACACAAATTGTATTAAAACATCACATACATTATCAAATAGAACACAGTGAAACACAAAACCTGAAATCTGCTCACAAGAACTATAATGTTGGATTTATTTAGAAGAAAAATAATCATGGTTCACTTTTTATGTCAAATTTGGCAGGAAGGTTTGGACAACTGCAGGCTGAATATATAGCAAACATCTAAAATAAACTTTTTCACAGTATGTTCGAGAGTAAATAACCTCTGTAAACAACCCCAAAGGACTTTTTGAAAATAAACTGTTAAAACTAGGCCTAAAGTGCCACTTTAATGTAACTGTTCAATGTTTTCACATTTTTATGTTGTATCAGATATTGGTCCAACTGCTTTCCTATTAGGGTTAAATAGTAGATATTGCAGCTGAATTTTCCTATTGTTTAAAACAATCACAAACCAGATTCAGGGATAGAACCATCTAACTTACACATTTCACCAGAAGGGGTTAGTTGAGGCTGGAAAAGAGAGCATTGATCATGTGTTTTTCAGGTTAACATTTTTAGGATATCTATTAATTTTATGGTCATCCCCAGACTAGGCCCAGCCACTTAGTGCACTTTGGCACCACCCACCCTGGTTCTTGGTTAAACTTTAAATCTTAAATGTTAAATACATTCTAGAATAAATGTGTCTCTGTGTGGTGCTCGAGTGGTTCAGTCTGAATGTTTGTTCTCAGAGTTATATTAAAACACTAAAGCAGAAAACCACAGAGTGGCTTGAGGCAGTTAACTGAATCACATGATGCAAAACCACAGTACTGAGAGCCCTGTAGAAACCACCAACCTCTGACATCTACTAAAAAATATCATCGATGGAAAAACTGTCATGTTAATGAGATGTTAATTAGGTTAGTGCAGCATAAAAAAATCTGAAAACTGAACAAAACACTGATGCACAGAGAATAAGCTAAGATAAAAGTTTATATATGAAGCCAATAAATTCATCAAATGTTGAGACTCATAAATCAGATCTTTCTGAATGAAAACTCTGGATGGGAACATTTGTATATTGAAATGTTTGTGATCACAACCAGAATGCCAATTTATTTACTAAGCAAAGATTAGGTGACACTATCTAGGTAGAGATGACTAGGTTCTCCTCCTGGACCGGTTACTGCTTGTGATCCAGTCATGTATAAGGAGCAGATACATTTAGTACACCCTGGACAGGTCTGTCACAGGACAATACCATTAATAATGTCTTACAGATAATTCCAGTTCCCAGTGTACCTGGATGCAACTGCCGGGAATAGGTTGCTCATTTACTGTGTTGAGCTTTCAGTCATCATCACACCGCAGTGATAAGACGACCCATCCACCACGCAAACACAAGGCCAGAAGTTTGAAACTAAAAAAGAAAAACAACTGAAAAGTAATATTGTTTCCAAGTTTCACATCTTTTACTGTCAAATGCAAAATGCGTTATAAGTTCCAAATGTTTTTTTTTTTTTTTTTTTTTGCTTTTTATAGTGCTATTATTATTATTATTATTATAATTTTTTTTTTTTGAGGGGGGTAAATATTTTTTGTCAGGCTCAATTTTTTCCTTTTGAGCAAACTCATTTTTCAGGTTCAATTTTTTATTTTTTTTTACCTTTTAATAACCTTATGGCCCATTTTAGTTCTGTAGTTTATGATGCTTCTTAGGGAGATTATTTTGGAGGTTTACTGTATACTTGGTGGGTTTCTGATTCTAGGTTCCCCTTTTCTTATCTTTATCTAAATACCAGTCTGTACAAGAGGCAGTGAAAATATGGCTGAAAACAATTTTCAAAAATGCCATCTTTTATAAATTGTAAACTCTTATCCAATACCAGCCCTCCTTTCTTGAATTCGCCGATTCATTAGTACACAGTAGCAGAGCCAGAATATCTTCATATGGGTGACCATGCAGGAACCAATGTGCACTAAGGGGTGCCCGCAAATTGATAAATGTAAAAATCAGTTCAGGGCCAATATAAACTGATCACACAGTACTGGTTGGTATTTATTGTATCGTTTTTCGTTAGTATGATCAATTTCAAGTCATGGTTACACTTTTAATTACCGGTATTCATATAAACAATAAGTTATAAGTTAGAGATAGTGATTATCTATAAAAAAAAAAAAAGGGATGAATTTTGACTTAGTTTTCTTTTCTTTTATATTTTCAATTTGGGCGTTAGCAAAGGTGAAGAATATGACTGAATGCAGTTTCCACAGTATGGTTAGTGATATTGGTGTCGTGAAGAAGATTAAACAAGAGTAGTGTTTGTGATTGTGAGGCTAAGATTGCTGTGGCATGTAGTCACAGCTATGCAGCTACCTAAGAACAAGTTGAAAGATTAATGACGAGTGTTTTCCCCCCCAGTTTGATTATTATGATGATAGTACCACAAAACATTGTGATAAGACACACTAGATTTTTACAAATCCCTCGCTAATAAGTCTACACACATATTCATACTTGTATGTTGTCTAAACTGGTTCTATTTCTGCAGAATATTGAATGAGTTGAGCAGTTGTTCTTTATCACTAATTTTATAGAAAACTGCTTGATGGTTGCAGAGACACAAAACATTCCCTTCTTCCCCATAAAGCAGATAACATAGTTCTGAAAAAAGCATGGTTTCTGTTCATGTCCAATTTAATATTAGTATTTTTATGTAAATATTAAAATTGATTTTTTTTCTAATTGTAGTGTTAATATAAGAACAACTTGCAATAGACTGGCAAGTGTCCAGAGTGTAGCCTGCCTCCTGCCCGTTGACAGCTAGAGATAACAACATAAACATAAACCAAGTTACCTTTACTTGATTCTTTTTTCCGTTGATGCTCAGTTATCCTAATATCACTGTAGGTTATATTGTCCTCTCCTTCTTCATTTTCTTTAACTGGAATAAAATAGATCAATTTAAACCTTCTTCAATACAGAAAAAATTACTGATGGCAGTGTTTAATTTTAAAATCCATCATAGAATGGTAGACCTACAGCCATCTACTTAAAATATATATTTAAAAATGTTGCATAAAATAAAGCTGACCTTTTGTGAATCTCTTACTGTCAGGTTTCCTCTTCCATCTTCGTCTCACCAGTAGAACCAGCAGCAGAAGGAAAACCACAACCCAGACACAGGCAATAGATGGCAGCACATATTTAGACAGAGGAGGAGGTCCAGTGGTTTCAGGGGGAGGGGGGGCTGGTTTCTCTGAAACACAAAGATTTATTAAATATGTGTCAGATAGATAATAGGACTCAGAGAACTGAAGGATTTGATCCTGACCTTCAACAGAGATCCAGCTGGATGGAGACTCTCCATGACCACTGATGTTACACCTGTAGAGGCCTTCATCAGAGCTGGTCACATGGTGGAGGGTCATGTGACCTTTGGACTCAGTCCTGATGAGGGAGCCATCTTTATAGAAATCAGCTGGGAGGTTGGAGGGAGTGGTTTTTGTTAGACAGCTCAGAGTGACGTCATCTCCCTCCATCACAGGGAGGACAGGACTCTGCAGGATCACTGATCCACCTCAACACAGAGACAAACTACAGCATTTCATCCATTTCCACACAGCTTCATCAACACTAACTCCACAGTCTGATCTTACCAGTGACAGTGAGCTGGATGCTGCTGCTGGCTGCTCCCTCTCTGGACGACCAACACCAGTAAACTCCACTGTCTCTTTCTAAAACATTACTGATGATACAGGTAGATCCAGCTAGTTTCCCCCATTCCTTTCCACACTGAGTCCTGGTTCCTCTGGTTGTGTTCCTCCATACAGTCCATCCAGCAGAGCTGTTGTTCTCCTCACAGCTCAGAGACACAGAGTCTAACTCAAAGAACTGAGATCTGCTGGGACTCACAGTCAGAGCAGCTGGAAGGAATAAAAGTTTTCTAATGTTTATTCTCCATCTCTAATATTAAAATCCTTTATTCTGTCTGAAGAGTTTTGATTCTGGTAGAAATGAACCAACCTGCATCAGTTATGAGGCAAACCAGTGAAGTCAGAACTGAAAAGAATTCACATTTATTGGTTATATCTGATATAACTTATATGGAAATATTTTCATACAATTGTACATCAGACTTTGACAGTCCCAAAGGTATGATATTTATTCACAGGACAAACATTTTAAAGCTGAAATTACTCTTTATCAGCACTTTGGTAAACCACATTCAAGTATTTTTTCAAGAATGCTATTACATTTTATATAAAACATAAGACAATGTTAAATTATGGTGAATTTTTTAGCCTTCAGCAGATGAATAAATTACTTTAAACACAGGTTCTTTACTTACAGAGCAGATAATGAAGACATGTTTCCATCATTGTAGCTCTCACTGGTCTGACCACTGATCATGCTCTGCTGGAGGAGCTGCTGCTGAATAAAGACCACCCTCTTCCTGGAAACAATGAGTGAAAGAGTGTGTAGGCGTGTCTAAACAGCTATAAGTGTTCATGTTTAAATTAAAAAACAAAACAAATAGTTATATAGGGATGTAGACCCTATATAGACCCTATGTAAGACAAACATTACTAGAGGGGTGTTTCATAAAACTGGCTTAGTTTGTTAGTCTGCCTTAGGTGGCCAAGTCTGGCTTATTTTATTGTAATTTGAGTTCATTAAAGCTGGCTCACTTAGAGTATATTTGGTTACTATGGAAATGACTCAGAATATCTCTGCTAATAAGCTGATTCAAAATTTTCCAAATTATTGCTCCTAGCTCCTATCCTTTCATCTGTAGCAGTTTTAACAGTAAGAACATTAAAAGATAGTAGAGGACCTCTGTACTACTGTGCTTAATACTGACAGCCTTCAGCATTATGGTGTTGGGATCTGGAGGTCTGTCCACCTTCCTCCAGCAGAGGGCGCCCTAGGTCTCCTGGAGCTGAGCTGACGACCTCACCTGCGGCCCATCAATCATCAGGAGACCAGCATATAAGCAGCTGCAGAACTACACTCCAGCGCCAAAGTGTTAAGCCAGTTATGGTTAGCGAAGCCTGAGCAGACAAGCCTGTCTGATTCTCTGACTCCCCTGAAAACCAGAACCTGAACCTAACCAGTTTTTGTCTTCTCTGCTTCTTAGGAAGAAACCTGACTGAGCTGCCGATGCTTAGCCCTCTGCCAACTTCTAGCCTCTGGACCCTCCTGGTTCCCTCCCTCTGCTGCTAAGCCTGAATCACGTCACAGGTATAAACCTGCTCAATTCCTCTGACAAGATCTTCCGTATCCTGGCTAACCAAACTGTCCCTCTCTACAGAGAACCCTGTGTGACCAGTCCCGGATCTGTTTCCCAGCATCATTCAAATAACATTGTCTTTGTTTTAATAAACAGTCAAACTTTTCATCTGCCTCCGTTGTGTTCTGCATGTGGGTTAGAAACCTGAATCCCATCATGACAGAACACTCTGGCCAACAACCTTACCCAGCAGTCCACCTCCGGAGGATGATTGAGGAACAAGGAGTTTTGATTCAAGGCCACGACTCCACCCTCCGTGAGTTTAACACACGTTTGGATCAGCAAAATCAAACTTTACAGGAATTAGCCAGCTACCTTAACAATGCTAACCCCAGAACGGAGCCAGCTCAACTTCAGGTTCCGGAGCCAAACCCGCCTCAAAGGTCAGACTCTGTTCCGTCATTTCCTGAATTCCGTCCGTCACTTCCTGAGAAATATTCAGGCATTACAAGTAAACGCAAAGGATTTCTTTTCCAATGTAGACTGATTTTCGAACATTCTCCAGCCAGTTTCTCTAACGATAGGAGAAAGATTAGCTTCATTCTTTCTCAATTGACTGGAAGGGCTCTCGAATGGGCTGAGGCCCGATTCCCCTCTGAATCCAGTTTCAGATGTACTTTCGAGCAATTTATTAAAGAATTCTCACAAGTCTTTAACCAAGACTCTGATAAATCAATTGATTCTCGAGCTCTGCTATGCCTAAAACAAGGTAATCGGACTGTAGCAGATTTCTCGATCGACTTCCGGGTCAAAGCTGCAGCTTCCGGGTGGAATGAATGCGCGCTTAAAAGTGCCTATTTTAAGGCTCTAGATGAAAAGATTAAGGATGAACTCGCCACAATCGACTAACCAGCTTCTCTGGAGGAATTAATCAGCTTAACCATTCGTTTGGATAATCGACTTTAGCCAGGACCAGGTCTAAATTAAGAAGCCATGTTTTTTCTGTAACTGCTCCTAAGACTAACTGCTCTTCTGCATTTTCTGCCCCACCTGAGATTGATTCTAGGCCACGGAATCGTATCCAGTCAGCTCCTGTTCATCCATCTTTAACCCACGGCATCTCTTCTCCTACAGAAACCTCTGATGTTGAGCCTATGCAGATTGGTCATACCAGACTCACTACAGAGGAGAGGCAAAGGAGATATAAAGGGAACCTATGCATGTATTATGGAGAGCCCGGTCATTTTGTCTCCTCCTGCCCGGCTAAGGTAAAAGCCGGGGTCCGCCAGAGGAAATGAGGAGTCTGGCGGACCATCTGCAATCTGAAAAATCTGCATTAGATCTGCATTTATTGATTCCGGTTGAGAAAAATTTAATTGACTCCAACCTTGTCCAACAACTAAACATTGAAACCATTCCTTTGAAAAAGCCTCTTAGAGTCTCAGCCATAGATGGTAAAAGATTACATCAAGTTACCCACCAGACTCAGCCTCTTCAACTCCTGATTTCTGGTAATCACCGAGAGACTATGACCCTTTTTTGTTTTTCCATCAACCTGTTCTTCCCTTGTTCTTGGATATGAGTGGTTAGAGCAACACAACCCTCATACAAATTGGACTAAGAGACACATTGAATCGTGGTCTGCCTCCTGCTATGTCTCCTGTCTTCGTTCCGCAGCCCCTGTTATTCAGTCTCCGAGTAGTCAAAGGGAGCCAGATCCACCCGATTTGTCTTCAGTGCCATCTGAGTATCAGGATCTAGCACCAGTCTTCAGCAAGGTCAGTGCATTGTCTCTTCCTCCTCACAGACCATATGACTGTGCTATAGATCTATTGCCTTGGGCTCCCCTTCCTAGCAGCCGACTCTTCAATATCTCCAAACCAGAAAGAGAGACAATGGAGAAGTACATTAACGAGTCTCTAGCTGCTGGAATTATTCGGCCATCTTCATCCCCTCTTGGTGCAGGCTTCTTTTTCGTCGTTAAGAAGGATGGATCTCTCCGACCCTGCATAGATTACAGAGGCCTTAACCAAATAACAATTAAAAACAAATATCCTCTGCCTCTGCTTGCATCTGCATTTGAACCCGTCCAAGGGGCTACAGTTTTTACTAAACTGGATCTAAGAAATGCCTACCACCTTCTCCGCATAAGGGAGGGAGATGAGTGGAAGACGGCCTTCAAAACCCCTCTAGGTCAATTCGAATACCTAGTTATGCCTTTTGGTCGGACTAATGCTCCTGCCTGTTTTCAAGCCCTGGTTAACGACGTGTTGAGAGACTTCCTCAACATTTTTGTTTTTGTTTATATTGACGACATCCTGATTTATTCCAAGAACCTGTCAGATCACAAGAAACACGTCCGTTTGGTTCTCCAAAGACTGCTCGAAAACAAACTTTTTGTCAAGGCTGAAAAATGTAAATTTCACCAACCTTCTGTCACTTTTCTAGGATTTGTGCTCGAGGGCAGGCAGGTGAAGCCATCAGAGGACAAGATTAAAGCAGTTCTAGATTGGCCTACCCCCGAGAATTGGAAACAACTCCAGAGGTTTTTGGGCTTTGCAAACTTCTACAGGAGGTTCATTAGAAATTACAGTCAGACTGCCCAGCCACTCACTGCCTCGACTTCAGTAAAAATAACTTTTCACTGGTCCGTTGAGGCCGAGGCCGCCTTCAATAAACTCAAGGCTCTGTTTTCTAGTGCACCAATTCTCATACAACCTGACCCCTCTAAACAGTTCATCTTAGAGGTGGATGCATCTGACTCTGGAGTGGGAGCAGTCTTATCCCAGCAATCTGACTCTGACAACAAAACTCACCCATGCGCCTTCTTTTCCCGCAGGCTTACTCCAGCTGAACAAAACTACGATGTTGGCGATAGAGAACTTCTTGCTATCAAATTGGCTCTGGAGGAGTGGCGGCATTGGCTAGAGGGCGCTGAACACCCCGTGCTGGTATGGACTGACCACAAAAATCTTTCTTACATCCAGTCTGTTAAAAGGTCAAACCCACGTCAATCCCGTTGGTCCCTCTTCTTTTCTCGATTTAACCTCATCATCTCCTACAGACCTGGTTCCAAGAATGTAAAACCTGACTCTCTCTCTCATCTGTACTCACCTGATAAACCTGAAGAACCTGAATCTGTCTTGCCTGCCAGCTGCACCGTAGGGGTTGTCTCCTGGGAAATCACCGACCTGATCAACCTCGCTTTAGTTTCTGAACCTGACCCGGGAAATGGACCTCCAAACCGCACGTATGTACCTACCTCCGTAAGATCCCGAATGATTCATTGGATGCATTCTGCCAAATTTTTCAGCACATCCAGGTGTCAGCAGAACCATCGCCCTCATCACTCGCCGTTTCTGGTGGCCGTCCCTCCACAAGGACGTAAAAGAATATGTTCTGGCTTGTCCCATCTGCGCCAGAAACGAACTATCCCATCAGCCTTCTTCTGGTCTGCTCCACCCCTTACCTGTTCCGTCTCGACCCTGGTCCCACATAGCAGTGGATTTTGTAACCGGCCTCCCTGTCTCCAAGGGTATGACAACAATACTCACAATCATTGATCGTTTTTCCAAAACCTGCCATCTTGTTCCCCTCAGGAAGCTTCCTACGGCTTTCCAAACTGCACAGCTTCTCATAAAACACGTCTTCCGACTCCACGGCATCCCTCAGGAGGTCCTGTCAGACAGAGGCCCCCAGTTCACAGCTCAGGTCTGAAAAAACTTCTGTTCAGCACTCAACTCCAAGTCATCTCTCACCTCAGGTTACCATCCTCATCCAACGGACAAACCGAGAGAATGAACCAAGAACTCGAATCCACTCTCCGCTGCCTGACCTCCACCAACCCGACTGATTGGAATCTATATCTGCCATGGGTAGAGTATGCTCATAATTCACACAAGTCATGTGCAACCGGTCTCTCTCCATTTGAAATTTCTTTAGGATACCAGTCACCACTCTTTCTGTCCGATGAAAAAGAGATCTCCATTCCGTCAGTCCACCATCACATGTTTCCCAAATCAAACCTGTCCTGACCATCCCTCTTTGCCCTCCGTCCGACTACCCTCCACCCGCCTGGGACATTGATGGTCACCCTGCCTTCACCGTTCGCCGCATCGTAGACTCCCGTTGCTGGGGCCACGACTGGCAGTACTTGGTCGACTGGGAGGGCTACGGAGGACCGCACTTGGGTTCCTGGATCCTTCATCCT